AACTATCTTTTTATGATACAGGTTCATTACAATAATAAATTAAAGATATATAAACACTCAATAATAATACTTTGAATAACTATTCACGGGATTGTGAGAAAACTCCCCTTTTTCCTAATCTCAATCGTTTTGTGTAAGTTACATCCTTATTTTACAGAATAAAATAAGATCAAAAGCACATCAGGATAAACTAATAAACTTTAATAAGTTCATGATATAATCAACATTAAATTATAAACCATCACATCTTAAACTTATCTAAGATCATTAATCATGTTATAAGATATAAATGATCACTCATTGAGAGAAATGGATCTTCTACGTAATCTGAAATAATAAATGATATATTTAATATTGAACCAATATCAGTAAATGATCATATTTCATTTTATTCAAAAAAATTTATCAAGACAATTTGGTTCAACGAATTATGTTTCATTAGGTGGATTCAAATAATTAAATATCTTTTGCTCTTGGATTGAGAATTACTAACGGTTTTTAGAAGGTTAAATATTTAAATAAAGAACTATTTAATAAATTCAATACATATATCTCAAAACGATTATTTAAGCTCTCTAATTTAATTATACCAATTTTCAAATTTGTTTTTACTCTATTTATTTCGTCATCTCTTTAATTATAAAATCTAAAAAATTAACTCCTTCTTACTTTATGTTCATCAATTCTAACAAAAACAAATAATCTCAAGTTAACTCTCCTTATTAGATAATTTTAGAAATCTCTAAATAAACAAGGTTAGAAACTAGTTATTAAGGCTCTAATCACTTAAAAAAACACACCAAAAATACCAATCCATCAAAATGTATTATATGATCATCTATTAGTCATAGACCGAATGGATAACCTTTATTCAAATCATCCAATGAGTCATCATTGAGTTTGGTTAGCCGAAAAACAAACTGTTTGGTAATGAATCAACACGATTAACCTTAATGTTAATCAACTTAGAGATAAAATGTGATCACCTTTAATTTGAGTTGTGATTAGGTTAGCGTTAATTAAAAATTCACTCTGAAACTCATCAATCATGTTTGAGGTAAGGAGGCGGGTGATTTTACATTTACTGTATCATTAATTACTAACTACAAGATTAAGCTAACTTTAAAGTGTTTTCTACCAGCATTCTTCCAACTATTTGAACAAGATATTAGGTCTAAGATTTGAATTTTAAGACAATTTTCAAACGTTCAGATACTTCAAAACTTATAAGAACTTAGACTATTTACCTTATACCTACACTCCAAAACACACAAGATTATATTAGTCAAAGGTCATCATGTCATCTTAAGAAACTTTTTTAAAAATCCACGGCCTCTTTCAATCCTAATGTATAAAATATATATGTGTAAAATATAATTAAACTTGTTATATAATATCACTGTTAAGAATGAACTTGGATAGTCGTGCATGACTCAACTCTTAATTCAATATATTAATCATGTGTAATTAATTCTTTAATTAATTTTGTGATATCTAAAAAATGAAATTGTTGTATTTTTTGTTTTGTATTAGAATAATACTTTCAACAAAATTTATTTTAGCTTGTTGGCATATATTTATTTAAGCATATTAAAATCATTGATGTTTTAAATTGAAATTTTGTTACATTTTTTTAGTAGTCTACAAAACAAAATATTGAATAGAAACCTTAGTATCCACAAACCGAACAGTAGAATTTTTACAAGTTCTTACCGTTTAATAGATTAATTTGAATTCAGTAAATATTCCCTGAAATAAAACTATTAAATAACAATAAAAATTAGTATATTAATATAATTAATTTATACATCATTTTATAAATTAAAATTTATTGATATCTAAAATAATCATTATTAGTTAAAAATAATAATTACAGTTTAAATTAATTTTTAACATTACCAATGTTTTAGTTACTTGGTTTCTATTTTTAAATTATAGCCTAACTTATAATCAATAATAAGTAGTTAAAACTTTAGTTGGAAACCAATATTTAAAGTTTCATTTACAAATTAATTATATTTTTTATTAATAATAAAAAAATATTTTAGATAACAATAATTTTTAGTTATAAAATAGTATATAACCTAGTGAATATAATATACTAATTATTTTTTGTCTCTAAATTTAGTTGTTTTTAATTTTTTATTGTAATGATTTGAATTATTTTATTTTTAGTAAATATTTTGTTATCCGTTTGAAGTGAAATAAATCCTATTAAAGTGTATATTTTTACTTCTCTACAATAATGTGAGTCAAAAAAATCTCCAAACGCAACTTTACGCATGTATGAACCAATAAGTAAAGTATTTAATGAAATTAATGGTAGGATTTTCCAAATGAAATTCTAAGCTAGGGATAATCACCAAACCATTAATCGATAATAAGAACCACATAGTCAATCATAATTATCTTAAAAAATTAAAACTTATTTCATTAATATATTTTATTCTATCATAGTCTCATTAATTAAGAAATATTGTTAACTTAACTATTTCTATTTTACAAAGATGTTGAATGGCATGCCATCGTGGCTTTTTCTTTTAATTTATGCTTCATATTGATTTGAATTATCATGTCTGTTTTGAATAGTAGTTAACTTCAATAAACAAATTTTTAATATATTTTTTATTTTTTATTTTTTATTTTTTATTTTATATATTTAACCTCCTCCAATGAAAATCATTGACTCCATTACTAGATAATGAAATAAATGTCAAAATTCCAGCTTGAAAGTGAAGGAATGACAATCGAGAGTCTTCCAAAAGTGTAAAGCACATACATAGGTTGACAATTCTTAGTCCTAAAATTCCACTATGAAATGATTATAAGTTGTATTTCTAACTATATCTTTATTTTTATTATTTTAAATTATTATATGGATGTATTATATTGATACTTTTTATTTTAAAAAAGAAAAATGAAGTCAACTATGCATATCCTATCCACGAAACAACCTTTAAAGTTCTAAATTTGTCATGTACAAATGTTGGCAATGAAGATATCCTAAATCTTAAATAAATCTTATCATGTAATCAAGTTGGCAATAATAATTATAATAATAATAACAATAATAATTAACAATTAATAATAATATTTCTCACATAAAATATCTAAAATACTATTTATATAATTATCAGTAGGATATTTTTTTTAATTATTCAATATTACGCATGTTAATTATTAGGTTTATATACTGATTGACAAGCAATTACAATATTCAAACAAATTATTTGTGGTAGGAATTTCTAAACATTGAGTTAACTCAATATTAGTATCATGGTCAGAGAGCGTAAAAAAAAGTAAAGAGTTAATTATCAGTGACCGATTTTAATTAATAATTCGAGTTAATATAATATTTTCAAACTAAGGATAATTTTAATATTTAATCTTCACACAAACTAATATAACACTGATATCTGTCTTTTTTTATCGACGAAAGAAATATTACAATCTATAAATCTGACAATAAAATTAAGAAAATCGAAGCTAGTGTCTATATTAATTTAAAATCCAACCCTTTTAACCATTATTATCTCAACAAATTTGAAATCTTATTACATACATGAATATTTATATTTTATTTTGACATATTGTAGTTACTCAAGAAAAAACTTTCTGATTTAAGTAATTTATTTCAATAATCATTTTGTTTTCCATTAATTTAAGCTTTATATTATTTTGGATCATTATAAATATTTTAAAATACTATTTAACTCCCAGTATAATTAGAATTTTTAATATATTTTTCATCTTATATATTGAACCTCCTCAGATGAAAATTACTACCTTCACCCCTGACAGTTCATGTGGATGTAAATTTGCAATGAAATAATGGTGTTGAAGCAGAAAATTGAGAGCCTTCCAAAGTGCAAAGCACAGGATTAAAATATAAATCTATATTAAAATATCTTTGTATTAATAGAGATTTCTCGTAAAAGAAAAATTATGAGTATAATTATATTCATTTAAATTTTAAAATAACATTATTTATCATTTAAAGTATATCTTTGCATTTATAGATTTATTTAATTTTAAATTAGTTAAGACATTTATTGTACTTTAATTTTTTTCTTATATTTTAAAGTCGTAAAAAAAAAAACTAAATAAGTCAACGATGCCATGAAGCTTATGTCCTTTTAAGGCTCCAAAATTTCCATGGACATCATATAATACAGACCAGAAAGACCTCCTAAGTTCTAACATGTAATCATGGTTTCCATTAACAACAATAATAACATCAATAATAACAATAATAATAATAAAAGTCAACAAAATTATATTAACTTTGAACTTAAGGAATTTTTGTAACAGGAATTATGAATGATATTTAAATTTCATTTTACAAAGTTTTCATATGCAAAATGTCTTTGGTTCATTATTTTCTCAAACTTCTATGTCACTCTAATAACAAAGAGTGAAAATGCAAGAATCACTTTAAATAAATAGCATAGGCATGTTTTGCAAGAATAATGAAATTAATACGTAATATAAATTATATTGTAAAAATAATTATACGTAGCATTGTAGTTACATAACGGCAGCTGTCCTAATTTTTATAAAAAGGTCTTTTAATCAATAAAAGGAAAATTAACTAATATTTTAATATGATTATGAATAACCCAAAACTAGATATTTTGCTTGGTTGAATTCAAAAACTAAAACAACAATAGGTCTCTTATATTTAAGATTGAATTAGATTTTTGTTTATTTTTCTAATAAGAAATTAAGGGTTTACTCTTCCGAATTTCTGCTTTTGAAGGAATTGACTTTTTATATATTTTTTAAAGATAACTAATTCGTATCTACTGAAGTAAAGTTAATAAAAAAGAAGGATCAATACTCTAAATTTGATAGTAATTTGCATATTTTAATAGATACAAATTACAATTACAATACATCCTAGTCTTTTAACGAATAAAATAATAATAATCATACAGAGTTTCTCTCTTTTCATTGTTTAATCTCTCTAATAACTAAAAAATAAAAACTCACCGAAAATCATTAATTAGGATAAAAATTACAAACCCCAAAAAAAGAGTAGTTAGTGAAAAGGAAAATGATACTTAAACAACCATTTTTGACAACATTTAGACACGTGTGCGCGTGTCTAAATGTTGTCAAAAATGGTTGTTCAAGTGTCATTTTCCTAGTGAAAATGAATATTGTATTTTCAGGACCGAGTCAACTCAGCAGATCAGTTCATCACGAAGCAACGGCCACGACTCAGAGTTGCCACCCGACACATCCACGTGGCACCGTCTCCTCAAATCCTCGAGCGTGTACAATCCGGGTACGGGTCGGTCCACGACCCGGAGAAGCTCTTCGAACAGAGACTCGTCACAAGGAATAGCGAGAGGACCGTGGTTGCAGAAACCGTATTCCTCTTCCGCTTTCGCGAGAAGCGTCTTGAAGATCGGATGATTAAGGTAGTTGGCGCGCACGATGAACCTCCTCCGGCTGGGCCCCACGCACACCGCCACGTGTCCCGCCGGAACGTCCGACGCCGCCAGCCGCGCATTCCTCCGCCACCGGAGAAGCATTTGCCGCACGCGCACAATGCGCCGGATTTTGCTGCAGTTCCCAGTCGTCGACGGCGACATTCTCTAACAGTCTGAACAAAGGAAATAAAACACAGAAAGTAACGGAGTTTGAGTGCGTTTTGTTTTGGAGTTCGGATTTTGAAAGTGTGGAGAGTTCGTTGAGTAGGTGGGTGGAGTGGAAGATGCAAATGGGCGCGTGGGGTATATATGGTTTGGGCAATTCGAAATGGCACTAAAGTTGGAGATAATTACGAGATTGTGCCTGTTGCCTCCATCGTAGTCAGGCCCATGTGGAACCCAGTGGGGTGACTCATGTGGGCTTGGCCTTATAGCCCACTAGCCCTGCTTTCTTATCTTGCATTGCAAATTTTCTATGCATTGTACTAGGTCTCCTTTTAGAAAGCTAAATCTATATCTCCACTTTTTATCCCTAACAACACCTTTTTCTCTTCTCATCAACCTTTTACATATCTCTTTATTTTAATCTCATACCTTTTTCTCTTCAAATCAATTTTTAATTCGGCCACTTCAAACAATTTTGGAAACTAAGATTTTTTAAAAATATATATATAATGTTCAGGTCTAAAAAGTATTGTACCTATCTAGAGACTGATCAAATAATGAAAATTATCTTTTGAGTTGTCTTGTTTTAGTGGGGTTCAAGCCACTGTGTTAAAAGTGAAGATGACTCTGATGAGATGAGTCGGAGCTGAGAGATGCTTCAAAAGACAATGCAACTTTTGTGGAGATTTTTTGAAGAGCTGTTGTCGACATAATTCATGGCACTTTGGATCAATTAATGGTGTGAAACTACAGACTTCACAAAATATTATTCCCACATGAGTTTGGGAGCTGAATTATCCATTTGTTGAAGGTGATTCGAGTTTTTCTTCAAAGTATATACATTATTTTAGTACTGCAGTACTTTCTCCAACTTTAGTTCCAAACATTTTCTCTACTCCTTGTTATCATGAAAAACATGTTTTCTTAAATCGATATCCATCTTTCAATATTCATCTATTGTCTGTCTACTACGTTTTTCAACCTGATCTTAGGCTCTGACTCACCCTTAGAAACCAGAAAAGCAAGGAATTGTCTCTTACTAAGTTATGTGAAGTTTCTTTAATGAAAGAAATGGCATAAACGTAGATGTTGTGAATCAAAATGTGTCTTATTTTTTTATTTTGAAGTTGGAATAACTAGTAAGAACAATTAGGCTTAACTTTGTTTGTAGTTTAAGTTACTGAACATGCTCACGTTACTTACATGTGCTTGCCTTAATTAATTATTATGTTTCCTCATATCTAACATTGAGATTATGGGAACTCAAAACCTGATCTTTGTCTTCTAACTGCATTAGATCCCAACTACATAATCCTGTTGCAAAGTTCGTAGCTTTCGTTATCGTGCGAATCAGTCATATATTTTACTCATAATGTTGTCCATTACCAATCAAGTGCACAAAAATGGAACTCAATGCGAATCGATATCATTACATTAATAATGAGAGAAACACAACATCGACCAACAAGAAAACTCATTTTTTCTTTGAATTGATAAATTATTTGCTTTTAGAAACCATGATTTTGATTCCAAATGTAGTGTAATTAACAAAATAATGTAATTAATTAACTACTCGTGAAACTTGAAATGGAGAGATTAAAAGAAGAATGGTAGGAGGCAAAAGAAGACCAAAGATATATAGGCGATGAGATTCGGTGATTGCAGTGAGGTCAAATCAAATAAAATTAATAGTTTGTTAGTTGTTTATTAGTAACATTATCAAAGGGTTTTGAAGAAAGAGACAAACATTAAGGGACAGAATCACTGCGTTTCACTTTGTAATGTTTCATTTTCTTAATCCCATGATTTTCCTGTCCCCATAATCGTTTAAACATAGTAATCCTGATTAGAACGCCGGCATGACTGATTATTTTCGAATATATATGCTGCCTCTTGCATTAACAATAAACAGAAAAAAGAAAGGGAGCAACAGAGGAGAGAGAACGTTCACGTTTTGCATTTCTTTTTTTACTAAATGTCACGCACAGGATCCAAATTCTTCGGCCTTTCTTTTTTATCAATTTTTGTAAATTTCTTTTTCGAAATACCTCTTATTATTATTATTTTGTTAGCTGGGAAGAACGAGTAGTTAGTTACTGGTAAAAGAATAGTTAAACAAACATTAAATAAAATATTACACTTCTTTATTGTATCATAATTATACAATATGACCACCCGATCAACCATGGATCGAGCGGTCAATAATCATTTTAATCCTATAAGAGACTATCCTGTCAATAAGACTACCCATAAAATTAACAATGAGAATAATTATAATTAATCCTAAGTCAGATCATTATTGTTTGAGTCGTAATTAGGCTAAGTTCATCCCAAAATCTATAAATATAGTTTGATATCTGGATAGTTGTTTTTTTTACTACGCATTTATTACTACAATAGTTGGACAAAAACTAATTTTAACATCGGTGATTTTTGTAGATAGCATCCAACTCGATCAAACTGTAAAAAAAGTACTGAAGATAAAACCATGACCTAAACTTGAAACGTAGAGACTTTTTGTGAAAGAAGACTAAACCTCCACCCCATAAAATAATAATTATTGTTTTAACAATAATAAAAATAATAATAGTATTTTCATTACAATAATATTTTTATTATTATCATAATATTATGATTATCGCATTGACGTTCAAATTTGATGCAATAATTATAATAATAAAACTGAGAGTATTTTGAACGATGAGTTCAATTTAATTTTTATAATAATATAGTTATTGTAAATTTTATTTTCTATTTTTTTTAAAAAGTTAATATAAAAATTTTCAAACTACACCAACTTAGTAAAAAAGAGATTCATTCTTAATTTCTTTATCTTTTACCTAGTAAATATTTTGAGTTAAATTTGGCATGTCAGCCAATTATAGTCGGAGAAAACCCATTTAGACATCTACAAGTTCGTGTGGTGTTGACTACATTAAGCTCTCACCAAAAACAAATCATGGGCTTCTTAATAACGACAAATATGAATCACGGGCCTCGTTAACTAAAGTAAAAAACAAATAAGAGTCCCTTATTCTGGTTCTTCCTGTTCTTACAAGAAAGGAGTGTTATTTCTTTGAGGTGGAAAAATAGTTTGAGGGTTTGAGAATTGTTCATTGAGTACAAAGAGAAATCCATCTAAAGCAGATTTTTTAATATTATGAATTATTTAGCTATTAAATAAGTTAGAGAATTGAGTAAGTACTACAGATAATAAAATATAAATAAGTAATTGTCCGGTTTTCAATTTAGAACTCTATTACAATTTTGTTACTAGAAAATGTATCAAATATTCACAGAATAATGTACATTTAAATTATCATTAACCTTGAGTTTAAAAATGATATGGAATTATTGAATATACTTGAACAAGATAGTATAAAGAGAACAAGAGTAAATCTTTAAAATCATTATAAGGATTTGTCTTCGTGATCTTATAAGGATTCACCTTTAAATTAAATTTTCATTCCCCCTAATTGATTTAGGACTAAGATAACAATGATTCTTGGTATCAATGTTCCAACTTCCGGTCAATAAAAATAACTATCAAGATCAATTACCATATCTGAATTATTGTCAATTGTAGAACTCAAAGTTTCATCACAAATTTGTTATTAAAATACATTGTCTATTGTAGAATTCAAAATCTCATCACAAATTTATTCTTAAAAAAAAATTATCCACTGTAAAATTCAAAACTTGTTCTTAAAAAATATTCCGGATAGTTACAAAATAAATGTATATTTAAATTGTCTTTCAAGGTCCTAAACGATCTATACATACAACCATAAAAGGTACATAAAGAAGAAAAGGTGGTTTTTGAACTAATCACTCGTGATACGTTTTAGATCTAAATTATGAAACCCGAAAACATTTCAAATTTACCAAAACGAAATAATTCAAAGTAGATTTAAGATTTTAGATAGAACTACCCAAAAACATTAAGAATTAGGTAATCCCAAAATATATTTTAAGTAAGAATATTCTATAATTAAAGTTTTAATATTATAACGATTTAAACAAGATGATTAACTAGAATAAAAAAAATTAAAATACATGATAATAAATGGCTTCTGGATATTAGTAATCAACGGAATATATGATGCCCCCAATCCTCCCCCACTCTTGTACTCAAACACATACCAAAATAATACAAAAATCTTAACAAATTGAGGATTGCCTAAAGAAATCTATTTCAACGTCAAATTTGAAAAGATCAATGAAAGATTAAACACATACTCTGTTTTATAATTGCTTAAACTGAATCCCTCAATCGTTCCCGCTATACAACACCCCATTGGAGAAGAAAGGAGAAGCTCTTACAAAAAAGAGATTGAGGCAGCATGGTATTTTTAAAATTAGGGGCCGCATGGGAGATCACGCGGGTGAAGGAAGAGCATAAAGAAGAACGGGCATTTCAGGCAGCTGAGAAATAAATAGAGGTTAGCAGAAGTGTGTGAAAGACTCTTTCATAATAGAAGTAATTCTGTACTGATGCTTTTGGCTATACCCAAGAAGCATATTAAATCTAGATAGAAATGATGAGATAATCCATTCAGTTACCTTTCATTCATTCATTCGTAAAAGCAATTAAGCGGAAATTTATTTGAGGAATCCGCAAATTCACACCCCTAGTCAATAAAACAATAGCACTTCCAATTTTAACTTCTAAACCACACAAATATTGGTCAAGCCTACTTCGGGTTGTATTAGCAAATGAACAAATGTGGAGAAAGATAACGGCTATACAAATCACCATTAATAAAGCACGTGGATCAAATCAAACTACTTTGTACTAAATATACTAGGGCGTTAGCCACCTAAATAAAAGTGGAACGTTTCACATAAGACTGCTATAACTTATCGTTCCAGAAGAACACTATTGCAACTCGAACTTGAACACAAGAGCATGATCGGAAGTAGATAAACTAATTTACTCTTTTCAACTGTATAAATTATAGAAACATACGATGTAATTACAATACCAAACATGGATTGATTTAATGTGTGATACATTCCTAAAACAAGTACACTTAATATATATTAATGTGTGATTTAATGTGTGATTTAATGTGTGATATATATATCCGAGAAGGAAGGAGAGAAGTAACTTTTTCGGAACACAGCCATTCGCAGCTAAAAGGACTTACAGTAAGTGTTCTGGAACAAGATCTAACAAAAGACCCAAGCTCATTTCCCTCGCACCCATTTCAATCAATCACACCAATCAAACAAAAGCGTGATGGAAGAATACACTTTAAACTTCCATACACAACACACGAAAAGATGAGCGACTTAATTTAAGAATAAATTGGAAAATTTTTCAAAATGCATAACTATTAAGCAAATAAGACATGGTAAGCATTTTGCAATCTTGCAATATAAACATGTAAAAAAAACACATCGTATTTATTATAACAAGGCAAAATATTGAATATTTTCATAATGCATTAAACTCAATGCTTCAAGATTGTCCAAAGCTTAAACCAGAAAAAAAAATGGGAGAAGACATGGTACAGTTTGTTGTCATGAATTATTTCAGTTATCTACTCCATCCTCAGAAAGATAACAACCCAGGCATCTCTCTCTTTTTCAGTGATGAGCCTTCTCCTGAGCTTTTTTATGAGACTTGGCTTTTGCCTGAAAGTAAAACAAGCATGCCTAAAGACCATTGCCGACAAAGAAGTTCTACAGAGCACAGTGTAATCATAAAAACTAGACGTCGGAGCAAGATAAAGCATCCCAAATTCAAGAAATAGAAAATGTAAAAATGGACGGCATTCTGCGAATAGAAGGCAATAGAAATACAACGCAAGGCACAGCACAACAATGCATGCCACTGAAATTGCACAAATATTACAAAATTATATAACAAAACCAGAACAGATTTCAACCATTAAGAATATAAAGCATTTTCGAAACATGGGGAGACTATTCACAATTTATCAAGATCTTTACCAAAACATCAGCAAGCCACTCAACAAATTGACTCCGTAAAAGGGCTTAATTCAAGTTAAGGTTGTAGATCTGGACTGAAACTAGAACTAGTCACGAAAGGATCAGTAAGCTGAGGCTTTGATTAATCAAATCAACAACAACAAATCTGTAATCTTCAGTCCAAAAAATTAAAATCACTTAAACAGTATACTTTTTAAAATCACACAAACAACTGATTAACCCCACTGAACATCAATGTACTGTTTAAAATCAACATGTGGACGGCAATCCAGAATTTCAGATAAACCTAGATTAATAAATATCTTTAATGAAAATCCAGTCACGGATTTCTCTGGATCGCCAAATTACGGTTTCAGAAATGCATATCAACTCACAAAAAGAGGAGTCAATGATCGGAAGAATTAAAAAAAAAAAATAAGAAAACTAGAGACTCGTTAAAATACCTTAAGGTACTTGAGCTTGATGCTTCCATAAACAACACCGAAGGAGAAAGCGGAAGCTCTAGCGACCTACCAATGCATTAGATTTTAGAGAAAAACAGCAAAAATGTTGTCACTGAATTTAGTACCTCGTTTTCACGAGAAAAAAAGATAAAAGGGTAATTAGCGGCATACCAAAGCTAGGGTGCTGGCACCGGAATAAGGTCCTGGAGGAGGTGCCATTAGATTGAGTGATGTCGGCGCAGTTGTGGTGGAAGAGAGATACGAACGATGGAAGGTTACAACTCCAAATGCAGATGATGAACAAAACAGTGCTTCACAATTGTCGATTATGGAACCCTAGCCAAGGTAGGACCGAAAACAGAGGATGACTCGTTAACAGCACAATGTTCTCTCAATGGGCTGAGACTGAGTTCCTGCCCCCATAGCCCAATAGGCCCACAAATAGTTAATCAGCCCAATTTGAATTCAGAATCCAAACCCTTAACTAATAAAACACAAGTAGAAAAAAAAGAAAATAAAAATAAAATGTCAGAAGTGGGATTTGAACCCACGCCCTCTTTCGAAGACCAGAACTTGAGTCTGACGCCTTAGACCACTCGGCCATCCTGACTTATGTTTATATTTTGAAATATAAAATATTAATAATATCGTTTAATTATTTTTGTTGGGCTTTTATTAGGTATAAAAGTATCAATACTGTAAAAAGTACGTAAGAGATATGTTTATGATTTAAAAAAAAAAAAAAAACTTGATTTCTTCCTAGAAATGCTAATAAAAGAACTGGATTTTTTACAAACTACATTTTCCACTACTTCTTTTCTTATAAATGGTAATAAAAGAACTTGATTTTTATATACAACAAACATCATTGTTTCTACAATTCATTAAATAAAAATGTTTATAAAATACACTTTTATCATTTTTTAAACTTAAAAACTAAGTTTTCACTTCAAAAAAAAAAGTAAACAGAGAATTTTACAATTATTTATCACAAACCATAAAATCTAAGGTCATAAATCATACTCTCTAACCATCCAATCAAGTCAAACCATAATAGAAAATAATTTGAGTATAGAGATTTTATAAAAAAAAAAATACTTAAGCTTATAAAATTTTATTTAGACAAATAAGTTAGTTTCATATTTTTCAATTAATTATATTTAAGGTCACGTTATATAACATAATAATTTATCCTCGTTTTCAATGAATGCATAACAGCACCCCACTCTGAAAGTTGTTATAAGAAAACAATTAAGACTTCTAAAAGTATAATATATATTAGTTGTAGTTTTTCTTAAACAAGCCATGTTCACATCTACTGAAAATGTCAATGAAAAATTGTAAATTCGCATTACTATTCGCAGAAACAATATTTTCGTAAAACAAACACAGCATCAGTGAAGTGAGGTTTGAGGTTGAGTCTTTGAAAGACTAGGATTTATGTTGTCAAACTTTAGAAATATAAAGTTTAATGTATCTATAGATAATATTGGTTTGATTGAAATTTATTTTGTTTTCTTAACTTAGTATCATGTATATTTTGATATTTGTGATTAACGTATTTTAAAACGTAAGTAACATATGTTCAGGGCAAATATACAAAGATAAATATAGATATAGTTTTGTAAATGTATTGTATATAAGGATATTTTTTAATATTTAGAAATACTTTATGTAATATTTATTTATAAACTCGTTCTGTTTGTATATATTATTATTATTAGTTTTATTATTATTATTACATATACACAAGGGTAAGTTTATGTTTCATAATATTTGTTTTCGTTTAAAGCAATTAATATATATTCGTCTCAGTTTTTAAGAGTACCTTTAATGTCTATCATTTGTTATACATAGTTTTTCTTTTCCTTAGTCTTTTAGTTGATTAACCTATTTAAAGTTAAAATAATTCTTTAAATAGATTCATAAATCAAATCAAACTTTTAGAAAATTAAGTTCAACCAGAAAAGCTATGTAAATAATGAAATAAATTTAGCCAATTTGTATAAAATTAATTAGAACTATTAAATTTTTATTTGTTCCCATCCATTTCTATTACTAAAATATTACATTAGATCACAATGTTTCCACATCAATATTTTAAAAAGTACACCCATACACTATTTTCTTTTGTGTATATAAAAATATCTGTAGAATTATGAATGTTTTAAACAGATAGTTTTCAAGAGTTGGTTTGATTCAATACAGAAAGATGCTTAAATTATAAGACAGTTTTGCATTAAATGCATTGATGAAAAAAATCCACTACAAGGCTCTTTTAATATAGCACATATTAACTAGTTAATATTAGTATTAGTATAATAATGATAATAATAAAAAATTATAATACTACATGATGAAATTCTCCTATGGTTTACACATCATTTTTCTATTTTATTTTTATTTATAAAAGAAAGGCAAAAAAAAGTGAGTATAAATGTAGAAGATGAAACCTATTATGACATCATAATCTGACGTGTTGTTTAAGGTTTTAAATTTCAAAATTAAATTGTTTCGCTTAGAAATATATAAATAAATTTAATACAAAATGTAAAATGATAACTTATTAAAATAAAATAGCACAATAAAAAAAATAGCCACAAATGCGTATCATTATTATACAATAAAAAATATTATCTTCTAAGCATTTTATATTTAATATATAAGACCCTCGCGCGATTTATTGAGTAAAAAAAGATTTTGTTATGGATTGTGTCACATTGTCCAATTTCATAACACGGGTTTTGGTAAGTCAACCGAGATATGTAAAATCTACCAAAATTTATGTTCAACGATCTTTTACACAAAATCCTGTTCAATTAACTTTATTCTTATCATTGTTTTACGAATATCCACAATTGCGCAAATATCAAGTTAAGCTGACAACATTTTAATCAGGATAGTGCACAGTGTAGATTCCGTGGAAAGATGTTGGTAAGGCTTTCATAATTTTGACTTCGAGATGATAAATTGAACAATCTAGATTAACCTACTCCGAACGCCATAAAAAAAAATTATGATAGGTCCATGACAGAATGGTCATTCTTTACAAAAGAAAGTCTGAACAGTGTTTCTAAATGTCATCATAAAACAAATCATGTCCAAATAATGCTTACAATTTAATAATATATAGTATATATATACTGAAATTAAATATGCTCTATAATTCAGATATAGGACAGGAATTAGAACTTGTATATGAACTTTCTGTCCGAGTTGGACAGGTAAAGCGAATCAAACTTAATACCATTGCAATTAAGGAAAACTTTCTGTAAATATGCGAAAATGAGTGCAATTAAACAGCAGCGAATATATAACGAACCAACCATCCAGCTGAGGACCTCCTTTCCAAGCTATTGTTTTATGTCGGAATTGGAGTTGCCATTACCATTCTGGTGGTGCTGCTGCTGTTGCTGTTGATGTTGAAGATGAATGTTTTGTTGGGATGCAGTGGGAGGCTGCTGCTGCTGAAACATCAGAGGGTTGACAGAATGCTGAGGAATCAAACAGCTAGAACCATGTGAATCCCCACTCAGTTCAGCTGTAGCAAGCTTTAGTCTTTGAACCTCAGCAGTAAGCGCCTCATTTAGGGCTATTAAAAGAAAATACAGGGTAAAGAATTAATCAGAAGGAATCAATGGATGATTCTGCTACTCTCCAAACCAAAGCACACGTAATGAAGACGTGTCACTTTCAAAAACAGACATTCTTGCAAGAAATTTACATAATGAGTTTCTATGCAAAGGAATGCAGCAGCACATTCTTATCCAGCCTGATGAGTGCATATCAGGCAGATCCTAAAAAGGGATTGCTTCAATAATACTCACGTTAACTTCAACAAATATGTTGTGTAAAGAGAACGTAATTGACTTGGTTATGGCTCACACAGCATTTCTCAACCTCCCCCGAGAAATTTGGACATAAATTACTGAGTAAGTCACTTAAACATCAGCAAAGAATCGGTCGTCTCCTCGGCATCCTACTATATAATTCCTACATGCTATTCCTATAATTCCATTTACTTTGGAAGCACTTCAACCGAGTTGTTCAATAGAAAGGCCTTAATACGATGAATATAAAGTATTTCGGATTCAGTGGGCCTACTTTTGTTAGAAAAATGATTAGATGATGCATTTACAATAAGTAGAGTATTATTAGCAATGTATCCGAGCTATAAAGTTTCATTAATTTGAGAAAAAATAATAAATGGATCTGCAATAAACTAATTATTATCCCAAAAAAGTTAGTTGACGAAGGCTAATGAATGTTGCCCAGGAATACCCTTTAACTTGAGTGACAAGAATGAGACTCCTAACCGCTGGATAGAAAGTTATGGTATCATATCAAGAACCAACTCGCCTAAGAGTTTAAACAGTTAGGTGAAAAGTCGTGATAGATTATTATTTCTTAAAGGTTCATAACATTTTATAAAAATATTACTAACAAGAAGAAGTAATAACGGAATGAGATCGTGTAAAGGCCTGGTTTTCATGCATAAAATTTACTGGAATAAAATAAAATTGAGTAGCTAACGTAAACTAAAATCCCAAATTAGATTGAGAATAAAATCTACCGCAAGAACTTGAAGGAGCTACGCGAACGAGTTCTATACACTACTGTCCATACTTAATACCTTCTCAATCTTAAGTATCATACAAGTAAACAATGGCCATTTTATTGACAATTGCATGTTGTTTCCTCCACTTTACAAGCCATCTGCAGAATTCTTTCACCCCTACTCTTGCACTCTTTCGCAAGAAGTATTCACCATGCACGTTGAGATGAAATATAATCTAAAATGTGAAGACTAGATCAACCAATACTATAAGTGAAAAATTAACTACTGATACCTAGCACAGATCAATAAAACAAAATGGAGAGAAACAATGAAAAAATACGAATGAAAGGGCACTAATACCATCTCGGAGCTTTGCTTGTTGTTCCATGGATTGAAGGCGAAACTTCAACTCGCTATTCTGGTTAGTAAGTCCAGCAGAATCTCTCTGCGTTCACATAATTAGGACGAATTCAATCAAATTAGAAAGTAAAGCCATGGTGGTCACAGTACTAATCATTAAATTACCAACACAAACAGGTTAGGCTCCCACCTGTAAAAGAGTAAGTTGTGCAGATAGTGTGGTGGCTTCCGTCTGAAGTGTCTGAACCTTATGCTCTAGCTCTGATATGTACCGCATCTTCCGCTCTTTGGATCGTGCAGCCGATTGCCGGTTGGCCAAAATCCTGAAAATCACCCCAAAACCTAATCAATCAGTCAACTGGTGACATGGACCATTTACGTTAGTATGTTTACTAGCTAATGGTTCAACATCAACACCTTTTTGCACGCTTTGGATCGGTCAAGGCAATCTCAGCAAGTTTTTCATTGGCCATAATTTTCTTCAATTCAGGCCCACTAAACTCCCCATTTCCAAACTCCAAGCTGAAGGCCGATGAATTGCCATCAACTCCACCAGCCGGCGAAATCAAACCAGATTTCGGCCCCGGCGACGGTGGCAGCTTCGGCGACTCATCACCAAAGTTCAACTTCGAAATGAAACTATCCATGGACACACTCCTATAGTGCCTGGTGGTGGGTGCAATCTCCCCACCCGCACTCCTCTTCATCCCTTCCCTCTTCTCACTCCCTCCCTGCCTGGCCGCACCATCCCCACTCTCATTAACACTACTCTCAGCTTCATTATCACTGCTGTCACCACCATTAGTCTTGGTCCCACTCGCTCTACTATCCAAATCATCACGATTTTCAGTCCCGTTTTTGTCATCGGTACCAGAAGAGTTCAACGCATCAAAGCTATCTAAATTCATGTAAGCAGAGAAAAGATCATCCACAACTTCCCCTTCCGGGGATTTCTTCTCCCCGGATCCCTCTACATTACTGTGGTCAACACCCCTGTCCCACGGTGTTTCTCTTTTGACCAATTGAGCAGGTTTCGCCAAAACGGGGTTTTCTCTGCCCCGGAGAGGAATAAGCGGGGGCGAAGATTGCAAAACGGTGGAAAACCCAAACGGAATATCACTGTTAGAGCGCCTATGTGCTTTGCGAGGGGGTAAAGGTAAATGGCTGTTGGTTGAGGTGTTGAGTGTTCTGGCGAAAGGTGAGGGTGGCAAGAGAGAATGAGAAGTGACGTCACGATCTTCCATGGAGACGTCAGCAGCTTCTGAGACAGACGTAGAGGAGGAGTCTCGGAAGGGGGAAGGGCTGAGGGGAGGGAGGGAATCGAGGGAGAAAAAGGAAGATTGCGAGAGTGATCGCGTGTGGGTGGGTGTAGGGGAAATGTTGTGCGACCCCATTTGCTGCTGACGCGTCACCGGGATCTGAGAGTAGGGCGAAATGGGCGGGATCTGGTGCGGGTGCGAAGGTGGCATACCCGCGCGCTTGTTACTGTTCCCACCGTCGAACTGATGCTGATGCCTGGCGCGCATTTGAGAGGGATTGAACTGCGGGATGCTGAGTTGCTCCATGTTCAACGGCTGTTTCAGAAACGAAGAAGAACAGTGAAGCCTCTGCATCATGTCATTGGTCGCTTCTTCATTTTCACCCATTCTGCTTCACCTTCAAATTCCACTTCCAATCAAAATCTGCAACCGCACACCACAATAACAACAATCATCATCACAATTGAAGTAACCGAGATAGACCGAGTTGCGAAATTATCATCATCGTCATCGAGATTCACTGATTCATTACCTTGGCAGTGTTCATCTAGAATACGAAATGGTGAAGAGGCGAATTCAATTGAATTGATTAATAATAGCAGCGTCGGTCTTGGAAGTGTTAACTTTGTCTGACGGAAATGCCGAAGGAGCAGGCGCTTATCTCTCCAAGATTCACTCTCTCTCTTTCTCTCTCCAACAAGAGCAACAACGAGAAGAAAAAAAAAGTTCTATTTCTCTCTATGATTTCTCTCTCTACATCCACGACGATGACTACTACACGGATTTCATGACTCTACGCGTGAATTTAATTTAATAAGAATTTCATTTCGCCCCAATTTGCATTTCGCCCGCATTTCAATTTCATTCCGACCTCATTTGTTTTCTCATACACCAGGTTTTTCTTCCCTTGTCTCCGCAGCTTATTTAGCTACCCAATCCACGATGTCTTTTTTTTTTTCTTTTTTTTTCTTCCTTAAAATCCGTTTCAAGACATAAAACAACATTTGATTGAACTCGTCTTTTAATAATTCTTTTTTCCCTTTCCTTTTCATTAAACTATTGAAAAATTCAGATATTTGCCTGAATTCACGTTTTACTTAATGAGGCTGCTAAACAACGCAAATGGAAAGCGCGCACGGTATTGGTTTGTTTATTAAATTATCCCTTTTATTATTTTTAAAAAATACTTTATTCTTTTTCCGGAAAGAGTTTAATGACACTACTCTTCCTTCATTAGAAATTTTAAGATGAGATTTTGATGTTTTTTTTATATATATTCCACATAAATCAACAAAAGTATCTAATTTGACATGGACGGGGCATAAAGATTTGTTCAGATTCTCATTCCTACGATTCTGTCTGATCTCAACAAAAATACTCTTTAAGTTTGCATAACTAGTTGGGATATAAATATATGATGGTCACCGAGGACGACAAGAACAACAAAACAAGTTGTGTGGACACTGAAAAAAGATAAAAATTCGATGGGAAATTCTGGTATCAACATATATCATGGGTGTAGGATTTTCTACCCTGTCCAATATCAGTGGTACAAAATTGCTAAACAGTGAGATATAAAATAGACATTGAAAAAAGATATATACTTGTAAAAATCATGGGCCACAATCATGGACTGTTTGGCAGCCCATTATTACCGAGCTCATCTGTACCTTCCATAACATCATCATTGCCCTAGACGAGGATTCTTGTCAAATTTTGGATTTCTTGAACGGTGGATCAGTCTTGGCCATGGAGGTAATATCGGAAACTTCAGATTTTATTTTTGTGAATTTTACATGCATACAAAATTTAACTTAATTTGTCATAAATATAATATTTAGATCAATTTTTAAATTTTATAAGTTTATAAAGATAATTAATTACATTGTTTAAAATCAAATTAGATCTTAAATCATTTTTATTCTTTAATTTATTTATATTTTTTACTTTTGTTAAGAGTTATTTATTGACTTGGCTAAAACCTTAACATTATTATTATAATTGATTTTTAATTGATTTTGATTCAATTCTTTTTATTAATATTTTGATAAAAAATATTATTTTTATTATTGTTAAGATTATTTTTCGAATTGTAGATTATTGTAATTTTTCTGAGTATTTTTTGAGAAATGTAAACTAATAATATCTGTTATAATTATTTGTTATTAGTGTTTATTGTGTTTTTTTTATATCATAAATAGCAATACTAGTTTTTGTTATTGAATTATTTTAAAAAAATTATGGAAATTTGGAAAAATTCGAATCAATATTCAGTATTATTTTTTTATAATGTTAATTAAAAAAATATTTCAATTGACATTAAGCGAAAAACATACAAAAAAATTACTACTAAACAATAAGGAAACTTTTAGTAAATGTTAATATAAATTAAAAATAATTTCAATATATATTAATTAAGAAAAAAATGACAACCAAAAAGTATTGATAAATTTTGAAAAGAAAAAAACATCGAGTTCAAAGTCAAGGTTATTAAAAAAAAAACTATTAATAATAGTTTAATTTTTAAATAAGTTTAAAAATTACATCCAATAATTTTATATTTTTTAAAATTAAAAATCAATGACATTTTGATATCGTGTCTCGTTTAACTTCTGAGACTTTTTTTTTAAGAATAAAAACATTCTAAGCTCAAAAACAAACAACATATCTTAAAGAAACTTTCATTTTTCTTAAATTTCGACTAAAAAATTGTTATATTATACTCAATTGTTTCATATAGACAAACCTTTCAATTAAAAAAAAAAAATTATTTTTTACATTTTTTAAGTTTATTTTTTACTACATTTTATATTTTTAAAATTTTTAATTATTTAATTAATATATTTTATAAAATAAATTAAAACAATTATTACATTTGCATATTAAAATTATTTTATTACAATTGATGATTAAAACTCTTAATTTATAAAAGACAATCATTTAAATATAATCTTATTCTGTATGTACATCATTTGAGTATTATAATATAAAAAAAAATACATTTTTAAATTATTTTTTTATTTAATATAATTTGAAAGAAAAAAATAGACCAGTGAAGTAGGTAAAGAAACAATTTGAAATTTCTAGCTCCATCTATTATAGAAATGTACTTTTCTAACACGAGTAAAACAATTTTGATTTGATCTGATTTTGTGATATGAATTAAATCTAAAATTAATATCAAAGTGAGTGGATGGTGATAATAATTTATTAATTTATTAAGAAGGAAGAGGTAGATGCCACGTGTAAGAAAAAGAGAAGCCGACGCAAAGTACAAGATGATAAGTTTAGAATTTTGCAGGAGAAGTGAGGAACAAGTGAACGAGATTTGATGATTTGAAGGTTTAAAGAATGGAGGAATGAAAGAATGAGTCGGCAGCGAAGGACAAAGAAGAAAGACGATAGATTGATAAGTCTACAGTGTAATTTAAGCCATTGTAATGATGAAACCAATCTTCTTTCTTAATCATTAACCTTTATGCTGCCTTTTGGTAAGTGGCCAAGATTCATTCCAAACACCACCAAAAATCATTTCAGACTCCAAACATCAAAAATCGATTTCCTACTTTGTTTCTTTGTTTCTTGTTCCTCCACACCTCACCAAACTCGTAACTCTATTTTTTTTATTATTCCAACTGTATTCATGTAAGAATACGGAAAATCTGTTTTTGAAATACAATCTAATCGTAGTTGGAAGTATGTTCGGAAATCGCCACAGTAAAAATGCAGTCTAACCGTAATTGAAAGTGTGGTTCATACGTTCCTTAAAAATGCGGCTAACATCTTTGAAAGTGCGTTTTCTATTGCCGCATCTTTTTGAAATGCGCATTGCTTTTGATTTGTTTTATTGTATTTGATTATTTTTTAATTTGATTTGATTTTTATATTTTTTTTATTATTTTATTTAAATATTAAATATTTTAGGGTTAATATTTTATAATTTATATCTCTTTTATATTTGATATTTATTTAAATTTTAGTTTTGATATAATTAATTTTTCTTGATTTCAAAATTTAAATTTGTTTGTTAATTTTTTATTCTATAATTATTTTTTGATATTTTAGTTTTCAATATGAATTATTATTTAATTATTTGTTGTATATTTTTTAGTTTTTATTCTGTTACTAATTTAAATTTAATTTGTTGTGTTTTTGTGGTTTTTTTTAACTTTTTTTATTGATTTGTTAACATTTTTTAATTTTTAATTTTTATTATATTTGATATTTATTTAAATATTATTTAATTATTAATTTGAAAATTATATTTGTTTGTTAATCTTTAATGTTTTGTGTAAAGACCTGAAAAATAGAGTGTTATAGAGTATATAGATGTGTTAAAATAATGAGACAGATTATTTTACTTTAAAATAATTTTATAATATAAATTGAATTTTATAAACACTTCTCATTATTCTAAAAACACTTCATCTATCTAGAACTTTATTCCTCAGAGTTCTCTAACTTTTCTCTACAATCTCTCTCGGTTGAGTTTTCTGTTCGACGATTAGGAGGTGCCTAGGCGATCCTAGCGTTGAGAGCTTCGATCTTGACCGATCAATTATGTGATTCCAGCTGGTAAGTTGTTTGCCCTTTTCTTCTCTTGTTCTTGGTTCTGGATCATGCAGCGTAGTACAGTTGCATGTGTCTCGCAGTTTTCTTCTTTAATTTTCAGCTAAATTTAGGTTATGAGAGCTGTTATTTATCACCAATTGGTGAGTTGTAGGTTTCTGTTGAGTTTCTTTGCGTTGCAAGTCAATTATCGGTGTATCTCTATGAGCGAGACTGGTAACTCTGAGGTAAGGGGAGTTAGATATTATATTAAATTGTTGTATGACTTATATATATGTTGAATGTGGTAGTATTTTACTACTTAGGACTAAATTGTTAGTATTAAGGGAATGTGAATTGAATGTGTTGAAAGGGTGAAATTATGAAACCGTAATGTGTTGTTAATGAACTGTTTTGGATGAATCTAAGTGTTGTAGTTGTGCAAGTTGGAGGTTGTTAATGTATGTAATATGTTGTGATGGTGTTGGAGTATGAAGTGAAGTGGTTTGGGCTTGTTTGAAATCAATTTTAGAGGAAGTGAGGTAGTGAATTTGAGTATTTGAGGTCTAGTGTTGTTAGAGGATGCTGGGGTAATTTAGACATGTCATTTGTGACTTGTTTTAGTCAACAAACTTGTTAAAATCAGGTTCAAAGTGGTCAATTAGGATTTGGGTCCCTAAGTTGAGGAAATTGAAGTTTTAGAGTAGAATTTGATGTATAAACACTTTAGAGTGAGGTTAGGAAGGTCTAGGATCATTTAGTCAAGTCTAAATAAGTATATACAACGTATTAGGAGGGTTAGATATTGGCAAAGTTGAGTGGAATTGGTAAAGAGGGGTTGAGTTGCATAATTCTACAAAATTTCGTTCTGTAGATTATGCATACTCGCTGTGCGAATGGATTCGCATAGCGAGTCAACTTGGCGAGGTGCTCTCTGCCAAGGCACTCGCATAGCGATGGGTGCGCTGTGCGAGTGAAGTGAGAGGGTTTCTCTCTGTTTGTCAATCTGCATAGCGAATCAAATCGCTATGCGACTGGTTGGGGTCTGGAACCATTATTCATTTTATTCGAACAACGAGTGGGTCTCGCTCTGCAAGGGTTTAGGAAGTCTGAGTCTTTGTCTGAGGTTCTCGCATAGCGATTTAGGACGTTATGCGAGTGGTTAAGAGTAGTTGGTCTCTGTCTAAGGATTTTGTAAGGCGAGTTAGGTCGTTATGCGAGAAGCTTATG